GGCCGAGGTTTCCTGGCCTCCCTGTGCCGCCTCCTGCCTGGCGGGGCCTGGAGACCGTGCCTGCCCCTCTGCTCCGGTCGCCCCCATCCTCAAGGAGCTCCCAAGGCCCATGGAGGCTGAGAGGCGACAGAGATGGGCAGACAGACAGACAGACAGACACACACCACGCAGCCAGCCGGCATGGCTGTGCTTCCCGAAGAGGCCCGGCCCGGGGAGGGGGCGGCAGGAGGCGCCTGAGTCATCTTTCCGCCGGCAGGGACCACGCAGTCGGAGCTGAGCTTGGAGCTCAGAGCTCGGCTGGGCCTCCCCAGGCAGCTCCAGCTCCAGCTCCCAGTCGCCTGGAGGATCTGTCGCTCCACCCCCACCCCCACCGCCCGGGAAGCGCGTCCCCCGTGGAAGGGCAGGGCCGTGTGCTTGGATGGAACCACATAAGCTGGTGGACAAGAGGGCGCGCGTGGCCGTGGGCAGCCGCCCGCAGGGAGGCAGAGTCCTTCCCGTGGCTGAGCCGCTGGGAGTGTGACAGCAGCTGCCACCAGGGCGGCCGCTCCCTCCCTCTGCTCGCGGAGCCTGAGGTAGTACCCAGACACTCAGTAGACTTGCTGCCGTTTCCATGACAACCGGGAGGAAGCCTCCACCCTCCAGCTTTTTTGACGGGGGTGGGGGGGGGGGTGGTGCAGCGGGTTCCTGGGCCTGGCCAGGTGTCCCTCCCTCCACAGCTGTCTGTCACTTGTTGGGGTGCGGGTAGGAGAGGCCCTGGGGGCTGGGGGGATGCTGCCCCCCTGAGAGACAAGGCAGCAAGAAGGTCCTTTTAGTGACCTGCTCCGGGCTGGGGCGGGCCTCCTGGTGGATGGAGAGGCAGGAAGATGGCGCTGTGTCTCGCCCATGTCACTCGGTGGGGTAGTAGCCTCGACAGCCGCCCCGACAGCACAGGCCTCACCCCCACCCCCACCTGTGGAGGCCGGTGCTAACCCCACGCCCAGCTCTGTTCATCTGGAGGTGGCGTAAGCGGCTCCCGTGCCAGGGAGAGGCGCTGTCGTGGGCTCCGCCCATGTTCCCCTTAGACAGAGGCAGAAACTGGCTCAGAGGGCTCCCCTCGCCTGCCCAGGCCCCTCAGCCTGTCCTTCTCCCGTCCCCCCACTGCCACCGGCCTCAGGAGGCGGGGAGGGGTCTGGGGACAGAGGCGAGCGACCGGGTCACTTCGAGACCAACCTGGTTAGCACTTCCCTCCATTCCCCCTGCAGACCCAGTGCTGCGGTGC